CCGCATTTAAACTTTGAAAGCTGGGCGGAATCAAAGGTCGCGAAGTATTTTTTAAAAAACTTTTTTGGTTAGTTTAGCTTCCAGAAATAAAATGTTTTCTCGAAAAATAATAAATTCATCTGCAAAATTCTTTAATCAGGAGACGCGGAAGATTCGGTACTATAACTTTTATCTTGGGCATTGTTTCATTATATACGGGGTTTTTCAATAATTAAATTAAAAAATCTGAAGGATCCTGAAAATTGTTCAGAGTGAATTATTATCGGTAAATCAAAATTGTTAAAAAATATAGCTAATTGGTTTAGCTGTTATTGTAGGTCGCATCAAGAGCTACAGTTTTTTTATTTACGGTTTTCGTCACATATGCTGCTCAAGATATTTGAAAAAATCCGTATGAAAATCACTATTTCTCACGCTCAGTCTACACCCAATGACGTCATTTACTATTGCAAGGTACTGCATGGTTTAAAAAAACCTGTATTTTCTCGAAAACCGTTTAAATATATTAGAAAAAATCATGTACCGAGAAACACGGGCATATCCAGGGCTATGACCTCCACTTTGAACAGTTTTTGAATTATATATAGGGTGTGTCGTTTATTGGCAAAAAATTTAAAAGATCTTGAACATTTCCGTTTTTGTTAGTATAATGTTAGCCGTAAACGCAAAACTAATACAAATTTTTAAATTTACCAAAATTTTCCCAAACTTTCAAGTTCGGCGAAAAGTGACAAGGTGGATTTACAATAACATATCTATTTTGCCAAAGTTCTATAGTGGCCCCCAGGAACATAATAGAAATATAATGCATCCTTCTAGGACAAGAAGCCCTTAAAATACAAAAATGCGTAGCAGCTTTGTAGAATGCGTAATGCATAATGCTGAACAGCTGTCTGTCACAACAAAGAGATTTCGAAACTATATTTGATAGTTCCACGAGGGTTTTATATTTCGGGATTTTTTTAAACTAGTCCTGTCATTTAGCGACTAACGTTTTCATAGGGAAGTTTGACATTTTGAGGTTAGGTTTACTCAGTTAGGTTTTGGCGAAAGAGTGTTGTTTGTTTTTTTGCGATAAATTAAAAAAATTGTGACGGTTAAAAATAGAACTTATTCGGGAGCATTTTCGTGCAATAATTTTGTACAACTTTAGATGTGGACTAACTCAACAAAAATGCATCGATGAACTTAATTCGACTTTTTAAGTTAAAGCACCATCAGTCGCGGTCGTAGTTTTATTAAGGTTGAATTTCGTGATGGTCGTCCAAAATCGGTGGTTGTCCAAGAAAACATTGATGCAGGATCGTCATGTGACTTACTATGAGAAAGTGGTATCTTTGGGCATTAGTTGGATCAGCATACATACAATTTTGCATGAACATTTGGAAGCTAAAAAAATTTGTTCGCGTTGGATTCCACACAATTTGACATCAGCTCAGCTGTTGGTTGGTCTAAGGAAATGCTAAAAAAATGTCTATGATATCGTGACAGGTGATGAATCATGAATCTATGCTTATGAACCTGAAAGTAAGCAGCAGTCGACTGTGTGAGTCTTTCAGAATGAGACAAAGCCCAAAAAAGTTGTTCGTGCGCGAAGCATCTCGAAACAAATGGTAGCCTGTTTTTTCAGGAAAATTGGCCACGTTGCAACTGTTTCCTTGGTCAAAAGTAAAACAGTCAATTCTGAATGGTCACAACCATTTGTTTGCCGAAAGTCTTCGAAAAAATTAGAAAAACCAACCGCCGAAGACGAATCACTCTCCACGATATCAATGCTAGATCTCAGCGATCAGTGCAAACAAAGAACTTTTTGAGCATTAAAAGTATTTATTTGATGATGAGCCATCCACCATATAGTCCTGATCACCTAATGACTTCTTTTTATTCCCATACATTAAGGATAAATTACGTGAGCAACGATTTTTGTACCAGAAGAAGCGATTGGTGCTTTCAAAAAGCATCAATCGCTTTTTGATAGCTTATAGTTTTTTATTACAAATCCCGCAATATAAAAAGTAGGATATTAAACGTCTTAAGTTTGCACGAAAAATTTCTAGGTTTTACAATTTTAATTGATATTTTAAATCGACCACTTGTATCTTCTTATACAGACTCCTTCTGAAGAAGAGTTTTTGCTGATTATTGGTTAGATTAGACTAAAATATTGTATGTGCATATGGATCGATCGCTAGACATTAATTTAGTCTGGATGTGCCCAAATATAAAATCCGCAATATTGTAGAAAAATATGTATTTCTATTCCGTAACCTTCGACTGTAAGTAGTTGGTAGACTTGTATATAAACAACTAGTTTTTTGAAATGTCAAAATAAATTTTAAGGTCCTATAATTTAAATATTTATTTATTTAATTCATTTTTCAAAATAGTTTGAGAACACAGAAATTATTTTTATATTTAATGATAACTGTACACCCTATAGCGCGCCACATTCACAATTAAGTAGAAATTATTTCTTAAAATCGAAAAATTACCCAGCCCAGACGAAACCGATTAATAATAAATGTGATTCTTTTATTTTCTTTTCGTAAGTAGTTACATCTATAATAATGCAGGTTGCTCGCCGTTTTCTAAAATTAGAACAAAAATAAAGCGAATTTTTTATCACAATAAGCGATTGATGTATCGGTCAGTCACCGAAAATTGAGAGTTAAGAATGTTTGGCATTCATACATAAAGTTGTTCGGTTCGGAATTAGGTATTGATGACAAAAATTGAAAAATGTGATTGGGACTGGACAAGGGATGGCTACAAAAAGACAAATTTTATATACCAGTGTCGGTAAGTGTGCTATATATATAATCAGTGTAACGAATTAGTTAATTATTTGCTATACGGGATGTTGCAAAAAACGTTTCGCTAATTCCTAGGATATTTAATATACATATAACTGAAAAACCCATGAACTCGTTTTGTTTTTATTATTTCTGAAGCAGGTTAACATACCTAAAGAAATGATACCTTTGATTGTATCATAAAAGTTGCCAATGATAAAATTTAAATTCAAAATTTACATTTTTTTTTATAGTTGTTCCTGAATTAACCATTATGTGGGTAGTTGTTTCTTATGTATGAAAATAATTTATTTATTAATTCGATCAGCATTAACAAATCAAATCTAATAACTCCAAAACCACTTAAAAAGTATTCTTTTCTATCTACTTATATTTACTACAGCAATAAGGGAAACGTTTCTTAAAACATGCTGAAAAAATTAATGAAAAAATAAATTAATAAATTTTGCTAGTGTGTTATAACAAAATAATGGATTAATAATTACTCTTTATTGTCTATTGTGTGACATATGGTTTTTGATGTTCAGAAATTTATGTAAGTATTTCATTAATATGAGATGCATATACATTGGTAGCAAAGTTGACAATTATTTTGAGTGAATCTCCAGAATATTAATAAGAAATCGCAAAATTTTAAATAATTTCAAAAAATTTGAAACGGTAGTCAATTTGGTGTGTTGTATGAAAAATACTTTTCACTTCTTGGTCAAAAATAAACAATGCAGTTATTATCGCACTATAAACACGATGGACCCAGAAATATTACATTTTTAACATTTCTGTTTGTCGGTTGTTAAAAATTAAATTAAATTCTCTTTAATTTTACTTAAATTTTAGCATGGAGCGCAAAATTATCCCTTTATGTGTTTATGACTTGGCTAACAAATTTCTTAAGTTTTTCTGCAAAACCCAAAATTCATAAATATCTTTTCATTTAATTTATTTCACTTTGACCTACAAACTAAATATGGCAATCATTATATCATTGGTCTAATTTAGGATAGAGAAGTAAAGTAAAGTAAAGTTTTTGTGAATAAGGAAATTTTTTTAAAACCAGGTTTGCTGTATGGGTTCGAATTATTAAAATTTATTAGAATAGTTGCTGTCGTTTGATATTTAACCGCAGAAGATCGAATCATATAATACATAAAATTAATGAACTCAGTTACTTGTTTTAACAAGGACTTATCATTTGGGTCGTTTTGTACATGGTTTAACAAAAAGCTCTTTTCTTACTTTAGAACGTTTTAAAAATAAATTCAAGCATAATGTTGAAAAATTCAAAGCCCTTTTCAAAATTTATTTATTATTAGTTATGTGGCGTATAACTTTTTGCAAGGATAGTACTAACTCACGGAGCATATCAACTATATAATTAACCGTAATCTGTTTGAAAGTCGAAATTTTTCCGATAATATGCAAAATTTACTGCACTCAATTCGCATAGTTGCCAACATTTTCCCCAATTGGGTTATCGAAAGGATATTTTAAAACAAAACAATTGACATTTGGTGTCAGTAAGTCTGCAAACTACGCTATGATGGAGAATCTGATTTTTAGTCAGGCACCTAACCGACATACCATTTCACTTTTTTTTTAATTTTTATTTATTTAAATTTTAAAATGTATAATATTTCTGATGATATGCCAAGTAAAAAGCATTTACAATATACGGTCGTCACTTTTTCAGGATTTTGTGCACTCAATTCACATAGTTGCCAAACAGTTTATAGTTTATTGTAATATATACACTCATAACATATATAATATATAATTTTTTTCTTCTTTTTTTAATTTATTTATATATTGGTTTCTATTAGGCATAAATTTGTTATTATAGTTATTGCATTGGCAACAGTACATAATAATATGTTTACTTTCTTTTTGGCGCACTATTTATCTTAATTGGAGTATTTATAAGTTTACACGCCTAATAGGTGGTTTAGTCTGGTTTACCAATGTTAAGTTTGAATGTATGTGTATGTATGTGTATATATTTTTATTAATTATACATTTATACTTCGCTTATTATGAATAACGTCGATTATTACTATTATTAATGTAAAATATACATTACATTGAAATAACCACCTTTAACAAACGATGCTGACGATTATTATTTATATTCACCAAAATATGAAATAATATATTAAAGCAAGTGGAATTTATATATAAATTTACTTTCAGGTACCCTTTCGTGTGTCTCCGATGGCATGCAGTACGGATGGACAGCCCCCGTAATACCGAAACTCCTAAGTGTCGATAGTCCCATCGTCGTCACCAAAGATCAAGCGGAATGGTTGGAAACCATTCTAATGCTCGGCGCGTGTTGCGGTTTACCATTAACCATGTTCTTGGTAGACAAAATTGGTCGCAAAGGTTCCCTTCTAGCTTCGGCCAGCACCACTCTGGTAGCCTGGATCATCATAGCACTAGCGCCTAGCGTGGAGTATATCTACTTCGCGAGGTTCATCGCCGGTATGGCCGGCGATACAGCTTTCGTCGCCGCTCCAATGTATATAGCGGAAATGGCGGATCAAAAAATTAGGGGGTTCCTGTCAAGCATCATCTACCTGATGATGTTAACTGGAGTCTTGTTGATCTACTGCGTGGCTCCATTCGTTCCCATCTACGTTCCATGTATTATCGGAGTTTGCCTGAATACGATTACCCTGGTGTCGTTTCCGTTCATGCCAGATTCGCCTTATTACCTCTTGTACAAGAACAGACCCGAAGAAGCTAAGAAATCGCTGGAAAGGCTGCGTCCCTGCGGCGACGTCGACGCCGAAATCAAAGACATCGCGGCGGCTGTGGAACGGCAAAAAGAAGAAAAAGGACGACCGCAAGACTTGGTTTTGGTCAAAAGCAATCGGCGAGCGCTGATAATAATGGTGTGGCTGAACGGCTCGCAGCACATGAGCAGCATAAGCGTCATGCTGATGAACATGCACTCGATTCTCGAGGAAGCCGGTGCCGTGCACATTTCGTCATCGACGGCGGCCATTATCTTCTCCGCCATCATGTTTTGCGCGGCAATGTCGGCTTCGTTGGCAATCGACAATTTCGGAAGACGAGTTTTACTCGTAACCTCCGGAATTCTGGCCGGAACCAGCTTGGGAGTTGTCGCGGTGTACTTTACATTGAAAAATAACGGAGTCGACGTTCTTCACGTGAGCTGGGTGCCAGCGATGGCGGTCATGTGTTACGCGGCCGCCTTTAAATTCGGCATAGGCCTCGTTCCGATTGTGTTGACAGCCGAATTGTTTCCTGCCAAAGTAAAAGCGATGGGGATGACTATCTCGGACGCCTGTTACGTCGGCTTTTCCGTAATATCCCTTCAAATATATCATCAATTGAAAAACCGCTTCGGAATCCAAGTGCCGTTTTATATATTCGCCGTTTGGTGTTTTTGCACTGTCGCGTTTACGATCGCCTTTATTCCCGAAACAAAAGGGAAAACGCTGGAGGAAATTCAGTTTATTTTGAAGGGCGAGGATAAGGGTGTCAAAGGGACGGCTCAAAGTAATTCGGAAGCGTACAAGAACGAAGGATTTGAACCCTAACGTTCGAAAAGCCGCGTGTATGAGTGCACTATATAGGTATTTATTTGTATTGGTTTTGTATTATTTACATCATAACTGCCGCATAATAAAATAATAAAACCAAAACTGGCGTTGTTTTAAACATTTTTCGCTTCGGTAAATATGTCGGGATTTGCAATTCGCATGCAAATGTTATGGAATTTTTGTCGGAATATTTGCAGCCTCACGCGGATTTAATTCGCAGAATGCACACTATAACTTTTTAGTTTTGAATTTTAAATGACAGATATTGCACTGCACCTTTTTCATCTTCATCTTATCTATAACAAAACTTATTTGATGTAGGACGTGGAAAAAAGAAACTATATCAAAATATTCCATACTAGACTAAGTAACACATTATCCCCACGAAATCTCATATTCATACAACAATATGAAACTAAATTAAATTTTCTATATTTCTTACTAAATTTACATAATTGTGGATAATATTTCGATTGCTTGGAAGTATGCAAATTTTTTCTTCCGGTAATATGGAAAATATTTTTTCGAGCTTTTACTGTTTTTAGCACTTTTTACTTTAAATGTTTTCATTTATATGTTATATACATGCAGTTGTTGAATGTTCATGATAATTTATTCTTGAAATAAAAATTCATTAGTGTACAATCGATTTTTGCTATGTAAAATTTTTACAAAGCCTTCTGTAAAGCTTTTTAGACTTTATTTCTAAAAGGTTGTTTATGTATGGGGCGACCATTTAAAATGTCCCCCCTACCCGTTAACTTCTTAATTTAAAATTTATTATTGTATGTTATACGCTAAATAAAATCCCCTAAAATATTCTCCACATTTTTTGTATAACATACCATGTACCAAATTCCAATAGCATTTGAGTTATATGCCCTTTCAACGTGAAAGCAGCATTCAAAAATAAAATAATATTGTAGAATTTATAATTTATATCTTGTAGTTGTAAAAAAAAACCTTTGTTTATAAGTGACAGTGACAGTTACAGATTTAACAAAACGATGCTCGATTTATCATATATAAACTGCCTTATTCTAAAAGAGAAAAAGAATGAAATGTGGGGACAGTTATTAAACCAAACAAGAAGGCAAAACTGGCTCAGAGAGAACTACGTGTAATTAACCCCCGATTGCACATTTCAGACAAAAAAACTTTTATTAACCATGAAAAATGCAAACGGCCTAGCCAGGAAGAAGAGAACTTTTCGTATAATATTATATCATAATATTTATTTATATCCTAATTCCTGTTTCATATAAATTCAACAGTTTTCAAAATATCGTTAACTTAAACGCAACATTAAAAAGTATTAATTTTTCAAAGCGACTTCCACACAACCTTCCAATAGCAATGAGTCCGAAAGCAATTCTACACTTGCCACTGTGGTCCTTCCTTACATTCAAAACATCGCTGAAGACATATCAAAAGTTCTAAAGAAGTATAACGTCAAAACCAGATTTACCACTTGTCCAAAAACCCCCAACATCTGCGGTCTGTCACAGACAAAATTCCATTTGAGACGCCAGGAGTGTACAGCATTCCATGCATATGTGGCAATGAATACATTGGAGAGACTGGACGAAAAATATGAACTAGGCTCAAAGAACACGAAAGATCCTTACGACTAAGACAAATAAACTCATCAGTTTTTGCCCAACTCACTTATGAAACTGGGCATAAAATTTTATTTGATAAAACTAAAATTCTTGCATGTAATCAGTTCTTCTACCAACGAAAAATCCGAGAGTCAATAGAAATCTATAAACAACCAGCAATCTTAATCGCGACTCAGGTCACCAATTTGGGAATCAGTCATTCGAGACGGTCTCATTAGCGCCCCCCCACCCCCTCAAACAATTTATAAGCAGATACAGAGTAAAATACGAGGCAGTTTGAGTCAAGCTCTGAAGAAGCCAACAGGATGATTGGCGAAACGTCAGCAATTTCGACTAAGCAAAAACCGACGCAGCAGGAATCCAGAAGTTTTGTAAAAAGCATTTAAACGTATTCTTGTACTTAGTAGTATATTAAGCAACAAACGTGGCAAACGGCATTTGCGTCACAAGTTTATTTGGGACGAGCGAACCGAGTAATTAAAAAAACGAGTACATTTGGGTACATTTTTGCAAAACAACACGAATACTTTCAATGACATGACCGTCAGAACTGGAAAATGTCAAAATTCAAACCATGTGGTAAGATAACCGAAAACATCTGAGTGCTCCTAAACCCGTGTTGTAATATCCCGGAAATGTCCGAAGTGGCTTGGATCCGTGGGAGACGATAGAGCCGAAAATAAACAAATTTTCAGAAAAATCCAATATATCATTCGCCGCAAACGTCTAAGGTACTATAAACCGTGAAACACCCTATACCTTATAGATATTTAATAATTTTCAAATTCAGTACGTGCGGTATGGAAAGATGTCTAAGTCGGTAGAAAATATCTTAGTTCTGTTGTATTGATAGATAGGCAACGTGTAAAACAAGTTCTAGACAAGCGCCTTTTCTGAAGAAGAACAAGATGTATTTAATGCACGCCATAATGCAGTGTGTGCTGCTATTAGAACTGAATTAGAAATAACAACGGTTTGAAAAAGATGCGAAAGAATGCAGAAATGCAGAACGAAATAATTATTAGTATCAACAAAAAATTATTAAAACAGCAAACAAAAAAATGAATTCAAGCAGTTCAAAACATGTGGACAATACACTGAACAAAGGCCTAGAGGCTCAAAAATTTTAATTACAACTTCGTCTTTGCATATAAGTAAACTAAAAAAATTATTATTTAGATTCAAGTCCAATCATGGAAAACAATAGCAAATCTAATCACTAGATTAATTAGAGAAGGAAGTAGAATTGAAGAACAGAGAAAAAACAAAAGGAGAATAGCAAAGAATAATGGTGAAAATACAATCATATCGCAGACCAGTGTTTTTATACAAACAAAATACAGTGTAGGATCAAACCGACGAAAATTGTTTTTAAAATACAGGAATACAGATTTCTACAGAAAAGAACGGAAGAAAGATGGTACCAGAAACAAGGCAGGATTTTTGACACATACACAGAGTAAAAATAACGCTATAGGATCTGGACACCTCGCATATGTCTAATAATAAGCAGTTATTTGGTTCATTGAATAACAATTAAACTGAAATTTTTTTGCTTAAAAAAAATAATGATATCAGAAGGCTAAGGACAGATAGGGAGTGAAAACTGTATGTTAAATAATGTGCGTTTCAGAAAAAAGCGGAGAACTCGAATTTTCAAAAATTTGGGTTGCCGCGACAAAAAACAATGCAGAAACTTTGACTGAACAGAAACAAATGGATATTTGATCAAGAAACATCGATAGAAGATTGTGAGTGTACAATTTAAAATTATTAGGAAATGGTGTCAAAAATAAATTCGATTGTTATTTATTAATTCCCAAATTCGGTGAATGCGCGAGACAAAAGTTTTCAGGCCTTTATGAAATATCTTTTAAAAGTAACATTTATTCGGTGGCAAGTTGTGATGCAGGGTATGATTAAAAAATATGTAATGAAAAATTAGAAATATTATTAAAAATCAATAAATATAGATGCAAGCATTTAATAATACGGTGCAATTAAAATAGGGTAAAAAGTAGGCTAGTACGTTTATTCTACACTGCGTTTTGTTTGTATGGCCATACAAAAAGCACGACTATAGTAAAAGAAATTAATGCACCCTACGCATAGATTAGTAAATTTTCTCATAACAGATATTAAATAGTAAAAATCCCGTTTCCTAATTTACAATGGAAGTTTTTTAACATAGACATAGCATAACATAACATACTATGAGTAAGAGGCGGAATTTTTTTTTATTGTATGATAATTATGAACATTAATGTTATTTTAAATAAAGCCAGAACTATTGCTTTATAATTCAACCCGTTCTTACAAAATCCTATAATTTTTTAACTATACAAAGTTAAATTTACAATATTTTGTCAAAAATGATCTTAAATTCAGGTTGCCCTGCTTTTTAATTGCTTTATTGGCTATAATGTATACCAACAACTATAATATGTCTTTATTTTTTTACTTTAAAATAATTGTTAACTGATCTGATAATGTGCTTCAATACATAATTTACATAAGCAAAAATTTCCTGTTATACCAAAAAACAAATAAATGTTGCGAATTTGGGAGAGCGTTTTTAAAAAAATATATTAATACGGAAAGCGAAATAAAGTATTATTTGGACTAGCCGATACAGATTGTGGAATAATTAACAATATATTTACAATATAACAAGCGAATATGTAAGGCTTTATCTGCCGTCTTGAGTGTATAACTACAATCTTTCTGTTTTTACTATATACTGGAGAAAAAGAAATAAATGGCGAGCTGCATAATCTTTATAATCTTTCTAGATCTTCATCGTGTTGGCTTTCAACTGACCCTCCCCAATAAAACTTTAACGATGTTATTACCTATTGTTTTGGGCAAAGTCATTAACAAAAAATTTGTTATTTCCTGAGTGACAAGGCAGGGGTGGACCAGATATATTTCTTCCTTTCTGATATATTTCTTGAGTTTTGACCATTTGTGCCATCGCCGAATAATCGTTTTTACCATGAGTTTCGAAAAAATTATTTTACGCGAATATAACAAGTCGCGTCGAAATCATTTGTCGCTTGATGCAAAACAGGTTGCAAAAAATGTGAATTAAACTTTAATCAGTAGAGGACTTATTATATAAGAAGCTTTAAAAGAAACCTGTCCAAATATTGCCAATAAGAGATATTGGAGAAATGAAGAAAAGAAATAAACGTAGTGATTTTTAAACTCACCGTAGAGACAATAGCGATCAGAAGAAAAACAAATTGTCTTTATCAAAGCGAAGTTGTTCTTACCTTGATTAAACTGAAAAGGAAACTAGAAGAAACCAATATAAATATTAGTCATGCCACCTGTTGTTTGTAAAATGGGATTTACGTACCGCAAAATAGACAAAAGGCAAGTAGTAATCGAATCACACAGATTACTCACTGAGAGATTTAAATACCTTCAAGAAATTAAACATTGTATACAAAGGATGGGTTCACGCAAAAGTGTCAAACGAATACACCTTCAATATATACCATACCATAATACCCGCTGGATCAGAAGACGGATTTGTAATTGTCTGTATGTATGTTTCTTAATGTAATTTAATAATATTATACCCACCTAAATAAACAAAAAATATGTTGTTAACAAAACTTTGAGTGTTCGTTCCTAATATTCTGTTCTTTAATACCTACCGGCCCCGAGTTTTATTGCAATCTGCAGGTAATTTCCATAAACCATAAGCCAAAAGTCAGCACGCTGAAGACTGATACATCACAAATTAGGGCTATCCCAAGTGAACTCGCGATAGCTCTTTATCCACGACAGACGTAGACACAATTCACTTTACAAAATCGGGCACAAAAGAAGCAGATATCAAAGATACTAAAAATGGCCACCCCTTTGAACTGTCGGATTCTGTATGCAATATTATTGCATTAATTTAACAAAGAACATTTTGCTTTTAATGGCGCTGATGACTCCATAGTGTGGGTTTATCC